CAAGAGCCAGCAAACAAATACCTGATAAAAGACTGAGAGACCAAACCGCGATGAGGGACCCTCCCCACCTAAGGCCAACGGGACGCCGCTGGATCCATGGTGGTGACTATCTCTTGCAATTCTATCCCGACCGCTTGCTAAATTTCCCCCTTTTCTATTTTCTCTCTCTCCTATCGCTACTTTCTTACAACAAAAATAAACTCCTTTGGTAGTGGCATCTGACCTCATTTGTGTCTTAATCTCACCCTGGGTATAACAACGAATCCCTCCCTTCCCAGGATAACCAGGCCGGGACAATTGCATTTATTCATTTATTTCAAGCCACTAAATTCTATTATCCCTTGGATCAGAAATGCTGAGAAAATCCTTTCTGTAGTAAGTTAGTTTCTGAGGTCCTTTTATTTTTGGTTCAATTTGACTACCTTTTAATTTTATTAAGCTTTTCTTTGTTCTTCACTCTGCAACTTATTCACAGATTCACAGAGTGGTAGGGGTTGGAAGGGACCTCTAGAAATCATCTAGCCCAACCCCCTGCCAGAGTAGGATCACCTATCACCAATTCCACCAACTTTATTTTTGCAGGTATTATGTATCTTCATGGAGTGAGTGAAAAACAAAGGAATAAATATGCTGACATTTTTTAGAGAAATAATTTCTTAGATAAGTGTCACAGAGCTTGTCAGGGAGCTCTGACACAGTTGAGAGCACATTCTCTTCAAATTTAGCAGAAACTAAATAGGCTCCAGATTTGTTTCATGTTCTTCCTGGATTCTGAATAGTAATATTTTTCAAGAGCACAAAGAGCTCACATTATTCCCCTTTACGCAGAAATCCTTAGACCACATCTGAACTACCATGTCCTGTTGGGAATGTCAACTCCAGTACAAGAAAGACATCAACAAACTTGAATGAGTTCAGTGGAGGGTCACCAAAGTGGTTGGGGCTGGAGAACGTGCCCCGTAAGGAGAAGCTGGGGGAGGTGGGCTTGCTCAGACTAAAAAAGAGAATGTTTTGGGGGTACCTAGCAGCACTGCCTAAAAGGAAGTTACCATATGGGGGCGCTAAGATCTTTACGTAGTTGCATGGCAATTTAAAAAAAAAAAAAAAAAAAAAGACAATGGTAAACTAAAGCAGGGCTGGTTCTGACTTCAGCCAAGCAGCGAAGAGGCTGTCCAGAGAGGCTGTGCAGTATGCGTCCTTGCATGGTTTCAACACCTGAGTGGATAAAGTCCTTAGCAACATGTTTGACCTTACAGTTGACCCTGCTTTGAGCAAGGGGTTGGACTAGAGTCCTCCCGAGGTCCCTCTCAACCTGAATTATATTACATCTCTGAAACACTAGGTGGGTCAAGCAGAAGTTGAAGAAGGAGCAGAAAAAGGGATGGAAACAACTAGAAAAGAAATTATTTGAAAGCTCCTGCCAGAGCAGCCTATAATGCTGGCAAGGTTAGTTGTAGTAGGAGAAAGATCATAGAATCACAGAAT